GACGACAAGAGCGCCATCTATGAGGAGCCCATGGAATGCCGGAAGTGGACGAACGCGCACTTCGACGCCTACAACGCGTACTCGGCCGAAGCCATGACTCCGCCCCTCAACACGCCCTCCATCGACGCGATTGGTCCGAACGGCATGACGCCGCTGATGGTGGCCGCGGCGTTCCCGCACCACGTGGTCACCATTGACAACCCCGACATCGTGCAGAGCGCGGACAACAACGCCGTCCACGACCTGTTGATGAACGGCGCGAACGTCGCGCTCACGTGCGACCGCACGCACGAAACGTCGCTCCATCTGGCGGCGCGATACGCACGCGCGGACGCGGCCAAACGCCTGCTAGACAGCGGCAGCGACTGCAACGCTCTGGACGCCACGGGCCGCACTCCCCTTCACACGGCCATCGGTTCGGACGCGCGCGGCGTCTTCGAGATCCTTCTGCGCAACCGCCAGACGAATCTGAACGCGCGCGCCAACGACGGCACGACTCCCCTCATTCTGGCCGCCCGATTGGCCAACGAGGGAATGCTGGATCAGCTGGTGATGAGCGAGTGCGACCTGAACGGCGCGGACGACGCCGGCAACACTGCCCTCCATTGGGCGGCCTCCGTCAACAACTACGACGCGGTGCGCGTTCTGCTGATGAACGGCGCGAATCGCGACGCGCAGAACAACCGCGAGGAGACGCCACTGTTCCTGGCGGCGCGCGAGGGCTCGTTCCAGTGCGCGCGCCTCCTGCTGGAGAACCACGCCAACAGAGACATCACTGACCACATGGACAGACTGCCGCGCGACGTCGCGCTCGAGCGCATGCACACCGACATCGTGGGATTGTTGGACGAGTTCGTGGCGCCGCCTTCCGGCCACCAGCAGAACCCCATCTCCCCGAAGCAAACCAACACCCAATCGCTGCGCCGCAAAGCCCAGAGACCGCAGGCGCCGCCCCTCCCGCCGCCGCGCAACCTCATGACGTCACAGCAGATGTACGAGTTGTCGCCGCCCCTCGTGTCGCCGCCCTCGCGCCCGCCCCCGACCTACGAGGACTCTATGACGTACGGGAAGCGCCAGACGGTGCTGCAGATGCCGTCCCACCAGTGGCCCACGCAGCTGCACCCCTCGAACCCCCGGCCCCCCGAGTCCTATCTCACCCCCAGCCCCGACTCGCCCAACACGTGGATCTCGTCGCCCTCCACGTCGTCGCCCATCTCTGCCCACGACTGGCTGTCGCTGCAATCGTCGGACGTGACGTCACAGCCGCAGGTGCAGTCCCCGCCGCAGACGCGGTTCGCGCCGTCGTCCACGCAACAGGCCGTCTTCATTTAACTATAACTATCATAATCTCTGTAAATACGGTGTAAATAGCATTAATTTAATCGCATTTAATCAATAAACGTAAACTTAAACCACTGACACCAATCGCTCTGCGCATGTCTGAACCACAGGTTGAATGACTTTTGATTTTGTTGTGAAAATTGTGTCGAAATTCAAAACTATTTTAGGAATCATTCATTCATTGAACTCGAGTTTGAAATGAATTTTCCAGAACTTCACAACCAATGGATCTCTTTCTCCACCATTGTCTCGCTCTTCGGTCTCCTCGCGCTCTACGGCTCCGCTTTCGTGCCCAACGCTCTCCAGCGGGTCTTCCGCTACGGAAAGACCGCCAACGATGAGAACCAGCCCAACAAACCCAACCTAATCTCCATCCCCAAGAAGTCAGCCAAACACCACTTGTGTCCGCTATTAACCCCTGTTTCCATTCACAGATGGTTCTTCCACTTCTACGTGTTCGCCACGCTCTTCTACGCCGCGCTCCTCGTCATCGTTCTTCGCGTCTATCTCTTCCGCCAATCCGTTCCCAAACTCCTCGCTCTCACGCTCGACACCGTCGTCGGCCGCCATCGCCGCTCTTCCGGTAAGCCACAGTCACGTGACCCGTCCCCCACTCACCCCCGTGTCTCCCTTAGTGTCGCCCGAGTCGGTGCTGGTGGCCATGTGTCTGCTGCAGCTGCAGGTGTCGCGCCGTCTCTACGAGTGCACGCAACTCAGCGTTTACGCGCGCGACGGCAAGATGGCGCTCATCCACTACTTGTGCGGCTTCTCCTTCTACTTCGGCGTCGGCCTCTCGCTGTTGGCCGAGGCGTCCGGCTTCCAGTCCACCAACGGTCAGTTTTTCACTCTCACTCCAACGCATTAACACACTTTCTCCCAAAAGGCTCGTCACGTGACCTCATTCTCCGCAACCTCTGTCTCCCGAATCACGTGATCGGCGTCTCTCTCTTCCTCTTCTTCTCATTCGTTCAGTTCAAAAGTCACGTGATTTTAGCCGAACTCAGGAAAGACTCCAAAGGTTTGAAAACTCTCCCTCTCTTCGTGACCTCTGACCCCCTCTAACACCTCCCTCTCTCTATATCAGGCCGAGTGGTCACTTACGGGCACTCCATTCCGAACGGCCATTGGTTCGAATACGTGTCGTGTCCGCACTATTTGGCCGAAATCCTCATCTACCTGTGCCTCTCCCTTGTGCTGAGCGGCCGCTCCTCCTACTGGTGGCTGGTGTGCAGCTTCGTTGTGGCCAATCAGGTGGTGGTCGGGCTCTTCAACCACAAGTGGTATTTACAGCACTTTCACAACTATCCAAAGCACAGGAAAGCCGTCTTCCCGTTCGTCCTGTAGATGGCGTTGTCTTCACTCAATGCGCGCGCAATAAATCAATTTTTCGAAATCGATTCGTTTATTCTGTTATTCCTCGAGAACTGCTCTCTTGTTGTCTGTGTTCTGTGTTGTCGTCGTCGCTGTCGTCTCTGTGTGTCGTCTCGTGTCGTCCCTCCCCTCCGCTGTCGTGATTCGTCGAACAGAACGTGACTTTCAATAATCCGTTAATCTTTTGTCTTTTAATGGATTTTCTATTGATTTTCGCTTTCAATACAAATAAAGAGTAAATATTTGGCGAAAAAGTCATTAAAAAAATTAATTACAAAAAGGAAAATGAATTCCCAAAAGAACCAAATTCTCGACATTTCCGCTTTGGAAACGCAGAACGAGTCTTCTTTGGGCAAAACCGCGCAAATCCTGACCGTAAGAATCATTAGCTCTTCTTGTGTTCGCTTCTGACCCGAAACCCTCTCAAAGATTATGCGGAAATGGAAGCCCAGAGTGAAGCCCAACGACGCCGTCGACGACTCTTTCCTCCAGCGGTTCGCGACACTCGAGAACTGCGACCAAAGCGCCCAACACTCGTCCTTCGCCGTCGACCCGTCGGGCAGTGAGTGTCACGTGACCCGCACTCTATAGCTCACCCCCTCTACTCTATGCAGACCTCTACTACCGCTGGCTGGCGCTCATCTCTTGCGCCGTTCTCTACAACGCCGTCACCATCGTCGGCAGAAGTGTCTTCTGGCAGCTCCAGAACCTCTCGCCCGTCACGTGGCTCTGCACAGACCTCCTGTGCGACGCCCTCTACGTGCTGGACGTGGCCGTCAACGCGCGCACCGCTTTCCTCGAGTCGGGTCTTCTGCAGCGCAACTCTCGACTCCTTCTCCAACACTACTACGCGTCGCGCGCCTTCAAGTTCGACCTGCTCTCCCTCCTGCCCACAGATCTCTTCCTACTCTTCACTGGCCTGCAGTGCCGCCCCCTCGGTCTCTACCCCTGCCCAGTGTTCGTGCGCTTCAACCGCTTATTCCGCTTCCATCGCGTGCAGGAGTGCTTCGAGCGCACGGAGACGCGCACCAACTGGCCCTACGCCTTCCGCATCGCCAAACTCGTCCTCTACATCCTCGTCCTCATCCACTGGAACGCCTGTGCGTCTCCATGACAACCCCTCACCGATTCTAACACCTGTTCTCCCGTTTCAGGCATTTATTTCTGCATTTCTTCGTTCATTGGTTTCGATTCCGATAAATGGGTTTACAATCGGCGGCAGAACGCGACCGAAGACTCGCTCCGGCATCAGTACGTGTACTGCTTCTACTGGTCAACGCTCACCCTCACGACCATCGGGGAGGTGCCGACGCCGGAGACGGACGTCGAGTACCTGTTCGTCGTCCTCAACTTCCTCATCGGTAACCATGGCAACACCATAGCACAGTAGTAACACTCTTTGCCGCCAGGTGTGCTGATCTTCGCGACGATCGTCGGGAACGTGGGCTCAATGATCACGAACATGAACGCCGCGCGCGCCGACTTCCAGTCGCGCATGGATTCCGTCAAACAGTACATGGAGTTCCGGCACGTGACCAAACAGCTGGAGGTGCGCGTCATCAAGTGGTTCGACTACTTGTGGACCAATAAGCAGTCGCTGGACGAACAGGCGGTCACGGCCGTCCTTCCCGACCAGCTCAAGGCCGAGATCGCCATCCACGTGCATCTGCAGACGCTGCGTCGCGTGCAGCTGTTCCAGGACTGCGAGCCCGGCCTTCTCGTGCAACTCGTGCTCAAACTGCGGCTTCAGGTCTTCTCTCCCGGCGACTACATCTGCCGCAAAGGCGACGTCGGCAAAGAGGTGACCAATAGTCAGTCACGTGACACAATACTAACCCATTACACGTTGCAGATGTACATCGTGAAGAGGGGGCGCCTGTCGGTGGTGGCGGACGACGGCCACTCGGTGTTGGCCGCGCTCACAGATGGCGCCACTTTCGGCGAGCTCTCCATTCTGAACATCTCGGGCGTCAAGACGGGGAACAGGAGGACGGCGAACGTGC